TAGCCCACAGGTTGCCACTGCTCAGTAAGTAAGCCTAGTAAACTCATTTACTCATCAAGCTGTACTTGTCACCACTTCTCAAGTTAGAGACAGTTCTTTTGTATCTTTCTGGAATAGTCATGCAACATCTGGAGCCCAAACAGGGAGCCAACAGATCCAAAGGTGACTCTAGAAGAGTGTTAGCAGGTGGCTGTCCTCCATATGGTGTAGGCTGTCAGGTCTCCTGGGATGAACAAGGCCTGCTTTGTGAATATGGAGATACCCAAAAAATGTGTTATAGACTGAGGATATACTAAAACTCTTCAAGTTAGTCCACGTAGGACAGGATGGTAAGAGAGCTATAACCAATATATGTATATGACACTTCATGAGGACAAAACCAAAAATAAACATGGATTATAAATATAACAGAATCACTTATACAAACCCAACAAAAGATAAACCACGAGGTTGTAAGAAAGGGCTCTTACATATCATTGTCAGCTAAGAACTGTAACAAAGAATTCTGCCAAAATCACATTTGTGTAGAGCTAATTTGAGCCACACATAACAGTCTCATCATCAAAAATTCCAAGCCTTGGAGGCCAGGGAGATGGCTCAGTGGAATAAGTGCTTGCCTGACAAGCACAAAATTTTGGGGTCAGGGAGATGGCTCAGTAGAATAAGCGCTTCCCTGGCAAGCACAAGGGCCTGAGTTCAATCCCTGGTTCTGAAAAAAAAAAGTTCCAAGTCTTAAGATATTAATAGGTTTATTAAAAAGGCCACCCTTATACTAAATATTGACAACCATCTCCCCATCCCAGGAATGTAAGTTTATATCTCTATATCCCCACCTTAGGGGGAAAAAAGCATATTAAGGTGGATGTGTAATGAATACAGAAGTCAGAGAATTCTCTCTGATTGTACAGACTAAAAACAATGATTTGTGGCTGGCCAATGTGGGAACCAGTAAAGCTGCCTGACGCTGACCCATAGGATGGTTAATTTTACAGAGTATAAATTATCAGAGGGCTATAAAATTTTGACTGCCCAGCTCACAGTCTCTTTAGAAGTTTAGTGTGGCTGAAAAAAAAAGCCACATGGTTCATAAAAAGTGACTAGGGATTATAACGAATTAAGTAAAGTGGTGCTTCCCATCTCCCATATGCACTGCTGTACCCAACACCATTCCTTGATTAGACAACTAATATAGGTTATAGGATCTTAACATGATGTTTCTGTTTTGCTAATTCTTTCCTTATATATTGTTAGTTGTCACATCTCAGAACCAATTGACATTCACCCGGAATGGACAGCAATGAGTCTTTCGAGTGCTCACTCAGGACCACCTGTGCAGCCCCACCATTTGCTTTGGGATAGCATCCAGGGATCTAGGTTTATTATCCTGCCCCTATGTCTTGATTACTTTTCTCTCAGTGCTGGGACAAAGTAACCAACACCCAAAATTAAGGAAGAAGAGGTTTATTTAGCTCACAGTTAGTGGAGGTTTCAGTCCATACTCAGCTGGCTCCTAGGCAGAGTGGCATATAACAGAGAACAATAGTTCATGCCAGCAGCAAAGGGCAAAAAGCACAGGGCAGGAGCAGTGGCAACAGAGAGCAAGTCTGTCTCACTTATGTTGCATTCAGGTTATCTGCCTGTGATTGGGTGTAGTGCCCACACCCATAATTCCAGCAGCATTCACATCCATAATCCCAGCACTGGAGCATGAATTAATCTCAAACTCTAGAAGTCCACCTATAACTGCATGAGGCTTTTGGAGGACAACTAGACACAAACCATAACATTCTGCCCTCGGACCCCCAAAGACTCATACACATTCCTTTATGCAAAAGTCATTTTAGCCCATTTCTAAGAGTTGCCAAAATCCTAACAGTTTCAGCATTACTGAAAAGTCCAGGGCTGGTGAGATGGCTCAGTGGTCTAAAGCACCTACCTAGAACAAGCTGTAGCAAATCAGAGGGACCATGGTTCAATCCCCCAGCACCACATGCCAGCCAGCCCCTCCCCCTGGTGGGCTGAGCTGGCCACACACACACACACACACACACACACACACACAAATAAATAAATAAAAATTAAAAAAAATAGAAAAAAAAAGAAATGAAAAGTCCAAGTCCCAAATCTCCTCCAAGATCCAAGGCAAACTCTTAGCTATGAGTCCCCATACAAATGAAAAGTTCTAGCACTTCTAACATTCAATGACACAAGATAAACATTACCATTCCAAAGTGTACATACAGCATGATATCAAACATTGGGACCAAAGCAAATCCAAAATCCAGAAGGGTAAACACTAAGTCCTATAGTTCCATGTGGAACATCTGAAGCAATCTGTAGCGCGAAGCAAATCATGAGCTCCATGTGACCCCGTCTGTATGGCACTCTTGGTGGTAGTTCCCACGACTTCTCTCTTAGGCTGGCTTTGCTCCCTCCTTGCAGATTCCCTTAAATGATCCACATTCTTGGCTTTTCCAAACTTCTGGGGTTTCCACACTTTAAGCTTCCCACGCTCTGCTTCATACACTGCCCTCTCAGGGGCACATTGCCTGGCCACCTAGACCTTCTTCTGAAATCTAAGTGGAAGCCTTCTCAACCTCAGAACTCTCGTATTCTGCAATCACCTAAAACCAATGCCATGTGGATAATGCCAAGGTCTGCTGCCAGCTGGAGCAGTAGCCAGGTTTTCTTCTCTCTTGGCTATGGGGGTTGAATTCCTAGATCACTGAGCTCTCTGATCCTGATTCCCAGGAACAAATTCTTTATGCTAGCACCATTCTGGAACGTTGTGTGGCCACCCCCACCATTCTAGAACATGGCACTCTGCAGCTTTCTCTTCAAAGATAAGTCCCTTACCCTTGCAGATCGGGGGCTGCAAAGGGTGGAGACATGCCTCCTGTGATAGCCTCAAGGTATCTTTTCCATTCTCTTGTTTCTTCTCAGCAATGGAGAGCCTCTCAGCTCTGTCTTTGCAGGCCACAGCCTTACTGATGCTTCTTTTCTGGCCAAACTCACATTTTAAATCATCCTGCTGGACTTTTGGGGTTTTTTTATTTGGCTGGATTTATTTATTTATTTATTTATTTATTTATTTATTTATTTATTTTTGCAGAACCCAGGATTGAGCTTAGGCCCTTGTGCTTGCCAGGAAAGCGCTTATTCTACTGAGCCATCTCCTTGGCCCCTGGACTGTTTGTTCTTGATTCTCAACATATATCTTTCTAAAAGCCCCCAACAATAGCCAAGCCACTGCTTCAACGTTCCATTGCCTTGAAATTTCTTTTGCAAGATTAAGCAGTCTACTACTTACTCTCAGTCTCAGGCAAATCTCTGGACACAAGAAAATACAGACAAACCTTCTGTCAAGCCATAATACACATCATCTGGAGTCCAACAACCAATGCAGTCCATCTTTCCAAGAAAAATCTCCCAAGCCTGGTCTTTATAGGCAGAATTTCTGTCAGCCTTCTGCTCTTCTGAGCTCTGACCAGAATCTACCATACAAAGCAGCTGAATGCATGTCAGCTCTTCTCTTACAGGTGACATCTCCAAATCCTTCCTATCTCTTCCCATAAGCCATTTCCAAAGGCTTATAATCCACATGGTCAGGTAGTCACAGCAAAGACCCCATTTCTCTGGCACCAAATTCTATCTTTATTACTTTTCTCTCATTCCTGGGACAAACTACCTGACACCCAAAACTAAGAAAGGAAAGGTTTATTGGCTTAGATGTTCTTTTTTTCTCTTATTTTTTTTTAATTTATTTTTTTATACCAGAGATTGAACTCAGGACATTGTTCTTGCCAGGCAGACACTTACACTGCTGAGCTATCACCCCAGACCTAGGAAAGGTTTATTCAGCTCACAGTTACTGGAGGTTTCAGTCCATACTAAGCTAGTTCCAAGGCAGAGTGGCACATGCCAGAGAGCAGTGGTTTATGGCAGTGGCAAAGGGCAAAGAGCAAAAGAGCAGGAGCAGCAGCAACAATGGCGACAGACAGCAAGCCTATTTCCCTTATATTGCATTCAGGCTATCTGCCCCCAGCCAGGTGAAGCACTCACACCCATAATCCCAGCACTGGATCATGAATTAATGACAAAGTCTAGAAGTCCACCCCATGACTGCATGAGTCTTTCGGGGGACAACTACACACAAATTATAACAACAATCAAGGTAAAAACATTTCATTATGTAGATGATACCATGCTAATCTGACAATTCCACTGATTTTTAAAAAATCATCTGAACATATACAAGTATACTTTTTAGTTACTGTACTCATTGCTGAAATATGACCAAGACATAACTGGATAGCACAGAGGTGGGGCCATTGCTGTGACATTATCTGACCATGTGGCAGAGTTTGGGAAGGTTTGGAGATTCTGGGTGAGAAACAAAGAACTAGAACACCTTAGATGGTACTTAATGGGAGATTCTGGTCAGAGCTCAGAAGACCACGGTGCTCAATAAATCCTGCTGGTAAAGACCAGGATCAGGAGATTTCTGCAAGAAAGAAAGATTGACTTTTGGACTCTGGGTCATGTGTGTTATACCTTGGCAGAAAGTGTATCTCCATTTTGCTTGTCTCCAGAGACTTTGCCTGAGATGAATAGAATAAAGGTGGTGAACTAATTAATCTTGCAGAAAAAAATTCAAGGCCGGTTAATGTTGAAGTGGTGGCACGGCTACTATTGAGGGCCTTTATCCAGATATATGTTGAGAATCAAGAGCAAAGAGCCCATTGCTAAGCATAGTGGAGCACATTTGCAATCCCAGCACTCAGGAGGATCATCAAGTGTTCAAGGACAGTCTGGGTTATAAAGTCTGTTCAAAGTCAGTCTAAACTGCATAGTGAAACCAGGCAAAAAAAACCAAAACAAAACAAAACAATAAAAGGAAGAAAAAGAACAAAGAGCCCAGCAAAATTATTGAAAATGTTTTGAGTATGGCCAGAAAGGAAGCTCCAGTAAAGCTGTAGACTGCAAAAAGAGCAGAGATCATGATTGCTGAGAAAAGATCGAGAAATAGAAAAGATAGCCTGAGGGTTTCACAAGAAGTAGCAGAACTCCGCCCTTTGCAGCCTCCAAATTGCAAAAGTGAAAGTGTTTGCTTTGAGAAGAGAGTCCCAGAGCACCACCTTGCAGAAATGCAGCAGCCAAGAGAATTCGTTCCTCAGAATTGGATTCACACTGTTCAGCAATGTAGGCACCCCGCCCCTCTACTCAAAAGACAAGGAAACTTGGCTACTGCTCCTGCTGGCAGTAGACCTTGGCATTATCCACATGGTGTTGGTTTTAGGTAAATGCAGAAAGTGGGAATTAGAGTCATCAAGGCTTCTACCCAGATATCAGAAGGTCTTGGAGGCCAGACAGTGGATCACCGAGTGGGCAGTGTGTGGAGCTGAGTATGAAGCTGAAACTGCATTGTAGACCCCGTACAACTGGAGAAGAAAGAAAGCCTGAAAAGTCAGGCAGTGTGACCCTGAAAGGGCAGTGTGTCAAGCTGTAAGTGTGAGGCCAAAGGTTCAGTAGAGATCCCAGAAGTTCAGGAAAACTCATTCAATGAGTTGGTTTGGCACTTTCTGATTCCAGTAGCCTAGATACAAGATAAAGGAAAAAAGTCTTGTCTCACCATTGCTTGCTTGCTTTTGCTGTCTTCAGCTTCCCATAAACTGTTTCTTTGCTTTGATACCTGTCTCCCAGGTTACCCTGCTTTGAAGTCAACCAGTTATGGACTGAAACCCCTTACAAACTGTGAGCTAAATAAACTTTTCCTCCTTTAATTTGGGGTGTTGGGAATTTTGTCTCAGCAATAATAAAAGTGACAAGAAAAATCTCATCATTTCCAATTTTTTTGGGTTTTTTGTGAGAAGGGTCTCACTAAGTATGTAGTTCAGGCTGGCCTTGAAATCATCATGTAGCCCAACTGGAATCAAATTCACAGTGATCCTCCTGGGGTAGCTTCCCAAATGAGTGGATTACAAGTATGAAGCATGACGCCCTGCCCCAATCTTTTCCAATTTTTGTCTCTAAGAATTTGACTTGATTTTTGTGAATGATGAAATGGTATAACACAAATCCTATCTTTTAAGATTTCTTGGGCCGGGGAGATAGCTCAGTTAGAATAAGTGCTTGCCTCGCAAGCACAGGGTCCTGAGTTCAATCCCCAGTTCAGAGAAGGAAAAAACAAACAAACAAAAAAAAAAAAAAAAAAAAAAAAAAAAAAAAAAAACCAGAAGATTTCTCTCTAACTTCACCATCTTGAATCTTACCCATTCCTAACCACTGATCTAAACTCTGTGTACCTTCGTTCATCCTCCCAGGTCTAACTTTATTTGTAGACATATCTTAGAAATCTTTGTTACATCAGTACTTTTTCTACCGAATTTAATTAAGGTCACTGAGTAATTTTATTTTTAATATCTATAGTCAGTGCATAGTATATAGCAGGCACATAGTAATTAAGTGGGCATGATGGTGGCTGCCAATCATTCCAGGAGGCGAGAAGTTCGAACCTAGTCTGGGCAGTTTGGCAACTTAGTGAGATCCTGCTGAAAAACAAAACAAAAAATTGGCCATGATATTGGAGAAAAGAGGAACAAAGATGATCAAGATGCCACACGTGGGCCAGCTGGTAACTCGGCAGACTAAAGCGCCTGCTTTGGCAAGCTTAGGGACCACATTTGACTCCCCGATCCCTCACGCCTCGCTGGCCCCGCCCTCGGGGCACGCTTGAGACCGTAACCGAGTCCGAGCGCGGTGGTGCACCCCTGTAATCCCAGTGTTGGGGAGCCTTAAAACAGGAGGATTACAAGTGCAAGCTGTGTAGTGAGAACCTGTACCAAATACATAATTTTTTTTTAAAAAAAGGTGCCATATGTATGTGTCTTAAGTTCCCAAGATTAATGTAATTATTACGTATTAAAAACATATACTAATACAAAATATTTGTTGCGTAAAAACCATCCTTTTAACACTCCCACTGTACAAGTATTGCTTCTTTTTCCCCTGAGTTGGGGATTGAACCCGCTTGGACACGCTAGGATACTCACAAACCCAGGCAGAGTAAACCAAGTGGCACTTCCAGGTTCGTAAAGGCCACCAGCAGATGTCAGCCTGCCAGGACCAAACCCTGGCATCCTGGCACTTGACGTGACTTGAACGAGTTGCCTAAACCCTCTGAATCTCGGTTTCGTCCTCTATAGTGCAGATTCAGTGAATGTTGTAAAATTGTAGGGTCTTCGTCAGGGAAAATGAGAGTGTACAAGAGGAGCGTAAGGCGTCACAGGGCGTGTGGCAGAGTCCGACCCAATCGCGTACGCCTGCCCGGTAGGAGGAGCCCGGGACGCCGGAAGCCGAGGGCGTGAGGTGATTGGACGCCGGGCCGCACATATAAGGGCGAGGGCACACCCTGACACTCGCAGACCGCGGAGGACGCCGCTGCACACGCTCCTGGGTTCGCGCTGCACTATGAGCTTGAGGGCTACCGCACCTTCCTGGTTCCCACCAGGACATCCGCAGGCTCAGAAGGTGGAAGCTGTCGATCTCACCCCGTATTCAAGCCCGCCTCAGAGCTGCCATCAGGCTTCGGGCTTTATTGTCATCCAGGCGCAACCTCCAAGAAGAGGCCCAGAGGTGCCGGCCCAGCCGCGACCGGCCAAGAAGCCCCCGGTGGCCCACTCCCCTGGTGGGAAGAGGGGGATCCACGCTCCGGACGCGAAGGTGGCAAACGCCGCCATGGAGGCGAAGAGGACCGTCGCAGCCCGCGACAGCCAGACCTCGGAGGGCGCACCGCAGTCGAAGACGCGCACATCGGCGGGCTCGGCGTCCGAGACCTCCTCCGACGCCGCGGCCCAGCCGGTCGCCCCCGGCTCGCCCTCGCAGCGCTTCCAGAAGGAGTGCGCGGGCAGCGCGGCGATGGCCACCCGCCATTGCTGCGTCGGCCTGTTGGTCGAGTGGTGCCTGGCGCTCTCGCTGCCGCTGCAGGTGCTGACCAGCGTGTGGAGGGGCCAGAGTGCGGCCTGCCTCTGCGGCCCCTGCAGGAGCCCGCGCAGCGCGCGGAGGGGCCCCGGCGCGCGCCTCAGCCGGGCCGCCCTGTACCGGAGCCTCTGCAGCTACCTGCTCACCGAGGAGCAGCGCAAGGTCAACAGCTTCCCGTTCCCGGACCCTGCGCGGCCGGGACGCGCCGTGCTCTACAGCGCCGAGCGGCCGCACAACCCCTCGCACAGGACCTGCTGCCGCTGCGGCGCCGAGTACCCGGTGTCCGTGTGGGGGCTCTGCCTGCGCCCCGAGCCGTGCGTCTACCACTGGGGGCGGCCGCGCCGGAAGCTGCAGGCGGGCGCCTGGGAAAACCTGTACACGTGCTGCTCCGCCCCGGCCGGCGCCGTCGGCTGCCAGGTAGCCAAGCAGCATGTGCACGACGGCAGGAAAGAGAACCTCGAAGGCTTCGTGAAGACCGGGACCAACGGGCCGTCGCAAGACACGCACCCAGAAATCTACGCCCTGGACTGCGAGATGTGCTTCACTACGCGCGGCCTGGAGCTGACTCGGATCACCCTGGTAGATGCGGACATGCGCGTGGTATACGACACTTTCGTCAAGCCTGACCGTGAGATCGTGGACTACAATACCAGGTTTTCTGGGGTGACGGAGGCTGACCTAGCGCACACCAGCGTCAGGCTGCCAGACGTGCAGGCTTTCCTGCTGAGCAAGTTGACCACCGACAGCATTCTCATCGGGCACAGCCTGGAGAGCGACCTGCTAGTGCTGAAGATGATCCACCCCTCGGTGGTGGACACGTCCGTGCTCTTCCCCCACCCCCTGGGCTTCCCCTACAAGCGCTCTCTGCGGAGCCTCGTGGCCGACTACCTCCACGAGGTCATCCAGGACAAGCCTGGTGGGCACAGCTCCTGCGAGGATGCCGGCGCCTGCATGCGCCTGGTGGGCTGGAAGATCATGGAGGACTTGGCCCTGAGCAGCCCACCGCCGCTGCCGCTACTGCCGCTACTGCCGCCTCTGCTGCCGCTGCTTCCGTCGCCGCTGCTGCCACCGCCGCCACTGCCACCACCACTTGCTTCTCCGGCAGCCCAGGCCTGCCCTTGGCCGAGGCCCCCTCCAAAAGCCAACCCTGTGCACTGCCGCCGCAACTGGAAACCGAGACATGAACAAACCGGCCACCCCACGGAGCCAGTGGCAATGTAAGACCAACACCAGAGGACTGGGGAGATAGCTTGGTGGCTATCTGGTGCCAACTATTTGTCCCTCCCAGACCTCTACCTTCCCTGAGATAGCTCCCTCAGCCCACCAGCACCCCAACCCCCAGTCTGCCAGCCGCATCCCTTTCCCCCAACTCTCCGGCCCTGGCTTGTCAGTACCCATAACTCCCAATCCCTCCAGCCCCCTATTCCAACCAGCAAACACCCATAAGCTCCACCAGCTACCCCTGCCCTGATTCTGATCCCTACGCGGAGAGAGATCAGACCTGCCCTGGCTTACTTTTTTATTTTTTATTTTATTTATTTATTTATTTATTTTTCTTCTTTAACTGGGAATTATCCCTTTTAAACTTTTAGTTTGAGTCAGTTTATCTAAGTCTCTAAATTTCTGTGCTGTGCCTTTGCTTGGAATCCTCCTGTACCAACAATAGTTACAGGCAAGTGCCACTGTGCCTGCCTCTTCCTCTGCTTTTTAAGAGAGGTGGGCATGGGAACAGGCAAGGTGGACATGTCCAGGATTCCGGACATGCATTGTTCTTTTTTTTTTTTTTTTTTTTAAGTATTGGTATTATTTTAACTGTTTTTATTTGAAACTTGATGACTTGCACAATTGCCCTTTTCCATCAAAGGGGTGCAAGGCTCAACTTTCTCTGGGGGTGTGAAAATTAATTGGTTAAAATGGAGTCATGCCTGTCACACCCTTCTAAAACAGAGTTGAGGAAATACTGTTGCTTACTCCAGAACTCCTTGAGAGAACAAAAGAGAACAACTCATCTTATCTTTTGTTTTGTGCTTTTCCAATACTGGGAATTGAGCCCAAGGTGTTCACATCACACTACATTGCCAGCCCTTTTTTTGTTGTTGAGATAGGGCCTTGCTAAAATGCCTGTGCGTGGCATGAATTTTCAGTTTTGCTGCTTCACCCTCCCAGAGTATGAAATTACAGGCCTTTGCCATTACTCTGGGCTATAGTTTACTTTGAGATTAGTTTTACTTTGCAACTGCCAGGGAGAACCTTAACACTAACTTTATGTTAGCAACTGTCATGGCTGAGTTTGCCAAAGCACTGATTGTGCCAATATTTTTTGTTGTAGTTTTTTTTGTTCTTTTGGTGTTTTTCCCCCCCTGGCAGTGGAGATCAAATCGAGAGCTGCTCTACCACTGGGCTGCATCCCCAGCTCTTTTTGTATTTGTTATTTTGAAACAGCATTAAATTACCCAGAAAAATGAAAAATGGCAGTCCTTCTGCCCCAGCCTCCCTCAGTGCTGGGATTACAGACTTATGCCACCAAGTCTAGCTACCAATGAACTTTTGCAGATTTTTCTGCCCTAATAAAGCCCCTGAACTTTCCTTTGTTCTATGGCTAACCCACCACAGACTGTACCTGTTTGTACAGGATTCTTTTCTATGCCCTGCAATAAAAATTCTTGTTTGAGAGAGTTCTTGCTGTTTTTTGTTTGTTTTGTGTTGAATTTTACAACAGATGGGGGGACGGCTAGATTGAAGCCAGCCAGTGGCACAGGAGCTACAGAAGGCCAGGACAGGAGATTCCTACCAGAGTAGCCAGGACTCCCTCTGATCTTTAGAAGCTGGGTCAGGAATGGGGCTGCTGGCTTTCGGAATTGACCTCTTCAAGCCTATTTGAACTTTTTTGACTTCAGATAACCTATCCAACCTATCACCAGACACCCTGAGCCTTGAGCGCCAGATGCCTCCAGAGACTACCAGCCTGTCTTTTCTCCTGCTGGTGGGGCTTGTTATACCATTTTCCTCTCAATCTAGAGCAGACAAAATAAGTGTTCATGCGAGAGGAACAAGACAAAAGCCTGGGTTATACAAAACGAAATTAAAATGCAAGTTATTTCTGAAGAGGAAGAGCAAGTAGCTCTGGAGGGGGCTGCAGTTCTATTGACTAATTGATTAATTGGCTGTGCTAGAGATTAAACCCAGAGCTTTCACACTGAGCTACATTCCCAAACCTTTTTACTTTTTAAAATTTATTTTGAGACAGGGTCTCACTAAATTGTAAGTTATCCAGGCTGGGCTCAAATATACAATCCCCCTTTAGTCTCCCAGATTGCTGGGACTAACAGTGTGCGCCACCAGCCAGGTTTTAGTCATTTGATATGAATTAAATATAGCAAAATATTAAGAGTTCATGGTATTTGGTAATATGTACACAGGAATCTGGTAGTATATAAAAAGGAAATAACATGGGTTATTTACTGCAACTATCTCCACATTTACAACATTTAATAATGAAATTTTAATTCAATTATAAAACTCTCTTAGTTTAGCTTGTGGGTTTGGGGAGATAAGTTATAAAATGAAGTTTTGTTCCCCAGTACTGGGGAATGAGCCCAGAACCTCCAGGCTGAACTTTATCCTCAGCCCTTTTCTTTACTTTTTACATTTTCAGCCTGGATCTCACTAAATTGATACATTTCCCTGGGATGTGCTCAAAGTTTTAATCTTCCTGCCTCAACTTGCCAGACCTCCCAGAGTGCTGGGGTTATATGTGTGTGCCGCTATGCTATTCCCAATGAAGATTTAAACTATAGAGTGACCAAGTGAACAACAGAAAGAAGTAGTGCTTTCACTCTAAGAGGGCAGTCAATAAGAGAGCCCTAAATTAGGAGGAGGAAAACGCTACTGAGCTGTGATGATTAATTTGGATTGTCAACTGGATTGGTTTGAAAGATACCTAGAAGAGTAGGGGTTTTTTTTGGGGGGGGGAGGGAGTACTGGGGATTCAATCTAGGGCCTTTTCACTGAGGGATATTCCCAGTCCCTTTTAAAAATATTTATTGTTGGGGCTGGGGAGATAGCTCAGTAGAATAAGCACTTGCCTGGCAAGTGCAGGGTCCTGAGTTCAATTCCCGTTCCCGAAAGAAAAAAAATTTATTTATTTTGAGGCAGGGCATCCCTAAATTGGCCAGGTTGAGCTGGAATTTGTGATCCTCCCGCTTCATCCTCCCAGAGTACTCGGGAGTACAGACTCATGCCTCACACCTGCCAAATGCCTAGGAGACTAGAAAAGCCCATTCCGGAAGTGTCTTGGCCACTGTATCTGGTCACCCACCCCTACACCTCTGGCTTTCTCTATAGTCCCCTCCACCTCCCTGCTGTTAGGAGGTTGGCGTTTTTCTCTGCCCTGCCCTTCCACTGTGATGTGTCAGCTTTGGAGCAACTGAGCATCCTCTAGAACCAAGCACCAAACAGCCTTCCTTCCTTTAATAGTACATTCTAAGTGTTTTGTCCCAGCAACAGAAGCTCACCAGTGCATACCATCTTACTCATTTATCAGGTAATCTGGAGTAGATGTACACTGAGCTGCCCACATAATGAAACAACTATTATAATCTACCAAAAGCATCTTAGCTTTTAGTGGACATCTAGCCAGTATGTTTGCAAAATTTTGGACAAGGAAAGCTAATCTTTATTATTTGTACAGATTTTCTACCACGGCAATCGTTTTCACATGCTTTCAGAAAACATTTCCCGTCTGTGAGGTCTGTGCCGGAGTAGCTCGGGGCTGATCGAGAGTTCCTCCAGCAGTAGTGCCATGATCTTGCCTGACAATGCCAAATAATTATCAAGGATACTTGAATTTGAATCTCCACCTTCAGCTGTTTTATTAAATTCAAGCACGCTGGCCTAATTCCATTTTAGGAAATGGAATGAAAAACTAACTATGTAAACGACAATCCTAAAAGATTATAATAGAGCTGGAAAATTCCTATCTCCTTGTGATGCCATTCTCAGGTTATAATATAATGTATTATTGACACTTGTGGTGCTACTGGGATAAACCAAACCACTGCATTTGTGTAGATCCAGCATATAAAATTATATATAGTACAAAGTATTTGATAATAATAAATGTCTACATTATTAGTTACTGATTTTTTTCAGCAGTAAGGACTGAATCCTGTGTCATTGCCCTGAACTATAAACCCACACTTCTATATTTTTTTTTTTCAGAGTCAAGGGTCTTGCTAAATTTTCCAGACCAGACTTAAACTTTTCATCCTCCTGTTGTAGCCCTCCATGGTTATATTATACTTCTAACCATTATTTAAAAGTACACTCAGGGCTGACCAGACAGCTCAGAGGACTAAAGCGCCTGCTTAGGCAGCATGCAGCAGCTGCTTTGATCACCTGTGTGATGTGCTGGCCCCGTCCCCGAGGTGCACTGAGACTAGGTGTGGTGGTACATCCCTGTAATCCCAGCACTTGGGAAGCTGTAAACAGGAGGATCACTACGAGTCCGATCTAGTAGTGAGACCCTGAACACCCTGTAGACCCTGTCCTAAAATACAAAAAAAAAAAATAAATAAAATAAAATAAAAATTACTGAAAAATCATATGCTGTTTTCACTGCATATAGCTTTTATTTACTGTCTCTAGATTGGATCCAGGGGCCAAGTTGAAGCTCTGTGTGTTGTCTTACACCTGTAACCCTACCATTCTAGGAGGCTGAGGTAGAAGGATTAAAAATTTGCATCCAGTCTGGGTAATTTACAGACACCTCTCTTAAAATAAACAATAAAAAAAGAATGGGAGGTGTACCCTTGAGTGAAGACCCCAGTACCAAAACATACAACATATATATGAAATGAAACAAATGAAAGAGACCATATTGAGTGGCTGACTTATGTCATGTAATATTCTGTAAATGCACTTCTGATGACTTGTATATAGCTTGTATATAAATGTCCCCCCAAAGTCTTGTGCAGTCATAGGTGGGGCTTTCCCAGAAGTGGCTGAAGCTAGAGTGTGTGACGCCCAGATTGATTCGTGGTAGAAGCTGGAGTTAAGGGTGTGAGTGCCACTGCCCTGAGCAGCCTAGAAAAGGCGTACGGAATAGAAAGAGTGGGTGTTGTCCCTTGTCACTTTGCTGCCTTCTTCCCTCCATGAACTGTTTCTCCTCTTTAATAACCCACCACCATGTGCCACCCTGCCTTGGAGCTCGCTGATGATGG